CTTAACGAGAAAATACGAGAATTAAAATGACCTAATAACTAAACTTAATGAAATCGAATAAAAACGAGAAAAACGGCTAAACCTAATTGCTTAAATGAAAACCAATTAAGAGAATGCAAATGATGAACTAAAGCTTGAAATAAAATCGACGTAAATCTATAGGAAAGAAGGCGCTGGGTTTCAGGGAAGTTCTCTCCGGGGTATGAACGATTCAAAACATTGCTAGAGAGTAAATTTGATAAGATCTTAGCTTAAACTTTTCGAACTAGAGTCATGGACGTATGAATACGCCACTGTCGTGATCATAGATAACTATCTCTCTCAACCCTGACCAGTAGGTTTCCACTCTAGCCCTGGAAGAGAAAAGATGCATTATATTTAAGACTCGTCAGCATTCACAAATCACCCATATGTAGGTTTCCACTCCTATGTTTGTTTTGCTCTCCCAATATAGATCTGACACCGGATGAACACTTTCGTGTCACCAAGCATCTGGATCAGATTATAGTTTATGACGCTACTCTCATGAAGTAAAAGTAAATTCAGAAGAAAAAGTTCTAAGATTCGGCTTCAATAGCTCATGGAATCCTCATCAAACATATGTATCCCCATCGAAAATCCCCTTGACCCAACAATAAAAATACTCAGACATGATGAACGAAATCAAAAACATAGTATTAAAAAGTAGAGCAATAATCGAAATTGAAAAAGAAAGAACAAGGATTCAAGAGACAAATCTCTCTCTCCCTAAAAGCTAAAACTTAAAAAGTATTCTTAAACAATAAGAGCATATGAGGTCATACGAGTTAGGGTTCCTAAAACATGTATTTATAGTCTAGTATTTCATTCACTTAGCCGATTTTCATACAAGCAATTTAGGTCTAGCCGTTTTCTCGTTTTTAGTCGATTTCTGTAAGTTTAGTTATTAGGCATTTTAATTATCGTATTTTCTCGTTAAGATTAGTTTTTATGTTTTAAAAACACCACTACAACCCCTACAAAAATTGCCTGGTTCTAGACTTCCTTACTTCTTATTTCTTTCGATGGCTTTTGCAGGTTAGATCATCTTTCCCTGTGGCTTCGATCCCTAAGTATTACAATCGATCAACTGTGCACTTGAGGCTATTGATTTCATTTAGGGTAAAACTTGACACACTCTCACCAGTAAGACATCATAGCTCTCGACTCCTGTAGGGACTATGTTCTTCTGAAGCTAGGTATGGATGATCTGATACAGCACTCTCGTGGCTCTGCTCGATCCTAGGCTCAGAGAATAGGTCATGAATCTAGTCTCATGCAGTACGAACAACTTAGAAGAGATGAGATCCAGAATATGGTTTAGAAACTTAGAAATCCTAATCGAACATGTATGCCTATCGATGACTCTTTAGAAACTTGATTCTCTGAGACAAATCTACATGATGCAAGGAATGATAAAAGGGATGAAAGAATGCATAAGATGAAACAGAAAAGCTAATTAAATAAAAAGAAGAGAGAACAATGGATCCAGGGAAGAATCCCCTTCTCCATCGCCTAACCCTAGAAAAACAAAGTTTGGTGGCTAAAAAATGTATTTATAGGTCCTACGGTTTTCCAGGTCTCATTTAGGGCTTCTCTGAAGAGGAATGGCGAAAAGGACTTCGATGTTGGGCCTTGTTGCTCGACATGGGTCCACCGGGGGTGAGACTCTTCCGGGGCAGGTAAAATGCTTGTTTGCTGCAGGTGAGAGTCTTCTGGGACTGGTGAATTTGGTCAACTTGTTCTCCATGTATTTTTTGATTACACCATTGGATCTTCCTGATGTAAAGTGATATGGAAAGCTGGTTATCTCCTCTTGAATGTCTCCAAATTTAAGCTGGATCAGACGGTAAGAAAATCTTCATTTGAGGGTGAACTTCTGACGGTCTGACTCTGAGCTAAAAATATGGATTTCTTCCATTTTGCTATCTTTTCCCTGATTTTCCTGAAAAGAGCATTGAAAGTACAAATATAGAGAAATCATAATAAAAGTTTCTAAAACTGACTAAAACCTTTGAAAAAGCATTTAAAATCAATGGTGAAAATGAGTACAAATACGGTGTTATCAACTCCCCCAGACTTTGTTTGTCCTCAAACAAAACAAGATCTAATCTGGAAAAATATCATCAACAGAAATCATAGGGAACTCAAAAATATCAGCAACCATACTTCTAGAATTTAATGTGGACTATGCATCAAACAGATCAAGTCTAAAAAATTCTCACCAAAATACAAACATCACTAATCCGTTAATCCGTCATGTGAAAATCCACACACTTAGAACTAAATTCCAGTCAACTAGCTTTTAACATTCATTAAAGGTTTCAGTGATTCTCATGAAAGGATATTAAACAAGGCATTCAAGACTAGGTATCAAAAGACTTTTTAGTGGTAAGGCTTGATGTGTTCAGGGGGTTACCTTTTTCTGGAGAGACATGATATTATACAAAACAGCAAGAGAGGATGGATCTGTTTATCCACAGTTTCCAGTGACATTCTTCTTTGTGATGAAACGATGCGTATCATACCTGTGGACTTAAGCTTGGAGTTGGGCTGGTAATGGTTATGGATCAAGGCCCAATCCGGATAAGAGCTTCAAGTGTCCATGAACTAAACTCTAGAAGTCTCGTCGTTTTAGGAGGTCAAAGATGCAGAGGTTGTTGGCGATAAGGTTGTTACGCAAACGGCCAAATGCAGGTGCTCGAGGTTGATGAGCTGGACCTGAAACAAAAGGAATAACGGTGTGAGAAAGAGAGTGTGACTGTGTGTGAAACAAGCAGAAGAGAGAGATCTAGAGAGAGAGTAGTGAGAGAGAAGAAGCTTATCTTCTCCATAGCTCTTCTTCTTCTCGGTTTCTTGTAACTCTCGTAGATCTTCTTCTGGTATCTTGTATTCGGATTAAACACATAGTGAAACCTTGTGAGCAGGCGTTTAGCTCACCAAGACGTACCTCGGCATTTTGCCTTGGGAACTTGTAAATCCTGTGTCGTCTTTGTCTTTCTTCTCTTAATCCTGCAACAAACAAAACAGAGCATAAGCGATAGTATTTGGAACCTTAGATCAGCAATTAGATCGAGCTTAAAGAAGGAAAAATTGCAACATTCTTGGTTCAAGATTTCTGATCTCCTTTCTTCAGGTTCTCCTTATAACTTCCCCAGACTTGAATTTTTGTCCAGGTTTTGAATCCATAACTCCTTAAGTGAATACATATTTCCTTTGCTCAAATGATTTCGGCTTCTAAGACTTTTTAGGCTTTTGGTTTCCTTTTCGTATTTATTTTTCTCTTTTTTTTGTTTTTTGTTTTTTTTTGTTTTTGAAACATACTAAGGCCTGTAATAGAATTAAAACAAAACTTCAATAGAAAAAGAAAGTTAAACAAAAATAAATAAATACCTAAATGGATTGCCTCTCATCAAGCGCTTTGGTTTATAGTCCTTAGCTAGACTTTGCAAAGAAAAAGACTTAGTTCAAGTAGGATCTTGTCATAAGACTTAGTTCTTCATCACTCTAGAGTTCCTCTGGTTCAAATGCCTGAGCTTTCTGCTTTCCTCCTTTAATTCATGATCATGACTTTTATTAAATAATATTGTACTATCTCAAAGAAGAATTACAAATGCGAATTATGAATAAGAATTAACAGCTTTGAATATCCCTTTTTTTAAAAAAAAAATTCCTTCTAAAAATTTAAAACTCTGATTTACCCTTTTAATTTGGTAATCTAAAGTCTTTCAATTTTTTTTTTTAATCTCAAAAATCCTTTTTAGTTTAAATCAATCAGAAATTTTTGGTTTAATCTGTCTTTTCCTTTTTTAAAAAAAAAATTATTCACATATAATAAATTCATTTTTCTTTTAGTTAAATATTTTGTTGTTTCTTAATTTTCATCCTTAAACAACTCAGCATTAGGAAAATTGGCTATTTCCTACCTTAACTTTGAGAAAATGTTAAATTCAGACTCGACTTTACTACAAGTGCTAAAACAAACATGAACTTATGTATAATTTGAATCACATACCTGAACTTTGACTTTTGTGCTAAAACCTCTGATTGACTAAACACTGTTAACTCTCTGTGAAATATTGTCGACATGGATGACACGTTAGCAACGTCGACGTTTTAAGAACCGCAAAATACTCTATTTTCATGCGCAAAACAACGTCGTTTGATGGCTAGGAATTAAAACTATGTCGTTTAGATAAACATAAGTCACAAGAAACCTAACTCCTTCCACGATTCATATACTTTTCTCTTTCGATCTCTTCCTCTCATTACTCTTCTGCAACACTGAAAATTGTCACTGCAAAATCACTGTTGACAAAGTGTAATAGCTTGCATAGCATCTCGTTTAGGTGTTGGAGAGATGAGGTAAACAATAAGCCGTCTTTATTTCAGTCAAAATTAGATTCGACTACCAAGTGATGAAACCAATATTTAAAAAGGAATACAACTCTCAGTTTCCACTACCAGTAGACCGAATATATATTTTAAACAAAACAGAGCATCTCGTTTAGGTAGTTGTAGATTGTGTTGTTTAGCCGTTTATTGTTTTCATGTTTTTAAATTTGATTTCGATAAATCTGTGTATTATAAACTAGCTAGTAACTGAAGTTATTACGTAGTTAAAAAAATCTAATATTCTGCTTTGTTTAATCACATATTATGTTCTATTTGATCTGGTTTTCTGTTTATCTCTGTTCAGTTCGAACGATGTGTTGTTTCAAATTTACTACAATGGAAAGTTTGAAATCTCTGAGGACAACACTACGACATATGTTGGCGGAGAGGTTCACTCACTAACAAGTCCTGCAAGGGCGTTGTTTGCTAACATGATGAATACGTTGGACATTTCTTTGTGTGGACAAAGAATCTGGTACAAACTTCCATACGAGAAGCTGTCGGATCTGAAGGTTCTCTGCAATGGAACTGCAACGTTTCAGAGAATGTGTGAAGAAGTGTTCTGAACAAAAGTAGCTGATATTTTCATGGAGAGTGAAAATGTTGATGATGGAATTGCTGATGCGGTTAATCCAAATGAAGCTACAGGTTCTGACGTCAGAGACATTGCTCATGATGAAACGCTTGTCGAAGATCCCGTATCTGAGGAAGATAATGAGAATGGTGAAAAAAATGGAGATGATGATTTGCAAGAGGAACGAGCTGTAGCGGAGGAAGAAGAGCAACAAGCTGATACATGTGAAGATACTCCTCCTAATTCTGATTGTGAGGATGGTGGAAGAAGATACATCGGCTGCAAAAAAGGAAGTGGAGAGCTTCGCCTAGGACAAGTCTTCAACAGCATACTTGAATTCAAAGAAGCCGTTGTTGATTATGTTCTCAAAGAAGGATTCAATGTGAAGTACACAAAGTGGGGAACCCAGCATTCTCAGGTCAAGTGTGCGATTGATGGAGATTGTGCTTTTAAAATCTATTGTGCATTTGATAAACCAATTGAAAGGTACATGATTAAGACCTTTGATGATGAACACACATGTATGAAGGACGGTCATAGCAAGGTTATCAAGGATGGAGTGATTGCTAGATTATTTTTGAATGACATCAAGAGAGATCCTACTTACAAGCCTTCTGCAATGCAAGATGCATTTGAGGACAAGTACAACATTGCTATAACCAATGACCAATGCCGAAGAGCTAAGAGAAAGGCTTTAGACATTATCCAAGCAGATTATGATGAACAGTTTGCAAGAATGAAGGATTATCGGCTGGCTTTGATTGAGTAAGATGATCTTTTTTTGTCTTTGTTTTCTTATAGCTTTATAGATTTACTTGTTTTTGACGTTATGTGTTTTTTTTTTTAAAGCTCCAACCCTGATTCAACTGTTGAGGTGGGGACTGTAAAAAATGGTGAAGGAAAAGAGATTTTTCACCAGTTCTACGTGTGCTTCGCAAATCTCCGGAGAGCCTGGCTTGCTCATTGCCGTCCAATAATTGGATTAGACGGATGTTTTTGAAGAACAACGTCGATGGCCAGCTATTAGCTGCTATAGGTTGTGATGCCAATAACCAATTCTTTCCGGTGGCATGGAGTGTTGTCAAAAAAGAAAATACAGACAGTTGGGTCTGGTTTATCAAGCATCTCAAACATGATTTGCAACTTCAGGATGGTTCTGGGTTTACCATCATATCTGATCGGCAAAAGGTAAGCTGTTAATGCTCGGTTTTTGCTTCCAACATTCTGTTTTTTCAAGTTACTGTATTATAATGTTTTTTTTTGTAGTGTCTGATAAATGCTGTGGACCAAGAGTTGTCTAAAGTTGAACATCGGATGTGCGCACGCCACATATACGGAAACCTAAGAAGAATTTATCCAGGCAAAGAGCTGCCTAATGCTTTGTTTTGGTCAATGGCTAAGAGTTTCAACATTGGTGAATGTGACCGAGCAATTAAGGCGTTCAAGGAGTTTGACTTTGGTGTCTATGAAGAACTGATGAAGAGAAATCCTCGTGGCATTCTTCAGTTGTACTGCGGTTTGTGAAGATGTCTCCAACAATTTTTCTGAGTCTTACAACAACTCCATTAACAAAGCCCGAGCGATGCCACTTGTTGAGATGCTGGAGACTATACGACGTCAATCTATGTTCTGAATGGATGTCAGAAAGAAGAAAGCTATGAAGCATCAAGGCAAATACACTCCTAAAGTGGCACTGACTATCAACGAAGAAGAGAAGCATCTAAAATATTGTCGTGTGGTGCCTAGTGGAAATGGTGAGTATGAGGTGAGGGAGAATAACATTGCTTACACTGTTGACATGGTTGCAAAGACTTGTGCTTGTAAGTGTTGGAACATGACAGGAATTCCTTGCCGCCATGTCCTCTGAGTGATTCTGTACAGGAAACTTGATCCGCAGGAATATGTATCGGACTGGTATTTGACATTTAAGTGGAGAAAGCAATACCAGTTTCCGATTAGGTCTGTTAATGGTATGACTCTTTGGAGGAGTTCTGGTGAAACTCGCATCACCAAGAGAAGACACGCACGGACCAACAAAGAAGCAGAAAAGAGTTAAAGGGAAAAATGAGTCTCCAAAGAAGAAGACTAAGGGGAAGGAAGTTGCACAGGAGCCTCCTCCGAAGATTTCCAAGGTTAGCAGAGAAGGGAGGACTTCTCATTGTAGAGGATGTAATTCGGTCGGTCATAACATCCGACGGTGTCCCGTATCTGTGTACGTTCCAAAATCTAAAGCAAAAGAGGTGATTAATTGCACTGAAGGACCAAGCCAAACTCAGCCATCACAAACTGAAAACGTTGAGTGAAGGTGATGTTTCTTTTAGTTATTTGTATATTATGTATCTGAAAATTACGGTGGTGTAGCTTCTTATATTCTGTTTTTTTTTTGGGATTACTTTGCAGGAGTCAGATGGTGATTATGTTATGAGTGACGATGGTGTGGTGTAATGTGGTGTTAACTTGTTGCAGTGTGGAATTCTCGTTTTGGGTGTCAGACTCTAGTTTCTTTTTCTAAACTATCAAACTTTATTTTCTTTTAGTTTTCTAGGTGTCAAACCTGGTTTCATTCGGGTATCTGCTTCTTTTTCCAGTTGCAAAATAGACTTGTTGTTTTTCTTGTTCAAGATTTTGGAATGACACTTGTTGTTTTGCCTTTAAATTCTGTTATCTGCAACTTTATTTACGTTGTGATTTTGCACCAAATCAAAACAGGCACAATTTCTATTCTCAAAACAGATACAACTTTCATTATAACAAATTCAAAATGAGAACCCTGTTTTCAGATACAAACTCGATAAATGGCAATACACAGTGCTCAAAACCATCAAAAGAGGACCATCATCGTACACATTGAACCCATTCCTAATGAAACAAGAAAAACATAATCAAAAGCATCACTAAACCACAAAAAATCACATTGTGCATGGAATTGACTACTGCATTGAGCTTCTCAATCTCTTGCTTGCAATTTGTAACCACAGCTTTGAGCTCCCCAATCTCTTTCTCACATCCGTTTGACAGACCTTTTATTGCTTCTATTTCAGTTCGATAGCTATTTACGACAGCAGAATAAGGTGAAATGCTGTAAGCCCTGATCGGAACTGCTCGAAGAAGACATCTGCTCTTCAATTGTTATTTTTTTGAAATCCCTAGTTCTATCTCCAGTTTATCGCGGGTTTGAAGACGAAGAAGAGAGTAAGAAGAGACAACGTTGTTTAGTAAATTTTTTTGCTAAAACACATACGGCGTCGTTTTACGCTTGAATACTGAATGATTTCATGGTTCGTTAAACGACATCGTTGCAATCGTGTAATCCATCGTGTCATCCACGTCGACAAGATTTCACGGAGAGTTAACGGTGTTTAGTCGATCACAGGTTTTAGCACAAAAGTCAAAATTCAGATATGTGATTCAAATTATACAAAAGTTCATGTTTTAGCACTTGTGGTAAAGTCAGTCTGAATTTAATATATGCTCAAAGTTAAGGTAGGAAATAGCCAATTTCCCCTCAGCATTACATTAAAAACATTTCATGATTAAAAATTCTGATAATTAGCAATTACTTTGAATTCAAATCTGGTTAGTAATGATTGCTATCTCAAAAAGGCCATTAATTTTGTTTCCATTTTATATTGTTAACAAATTATTTTGTTTCCTAATTTACTGCCATCAATTTCGCAGCTATTAATTTTAAAATGTTTAAATTTTTTGAACAATTTGTATATAAATCGGCATCTAATCAATTAAGATGCCGATTTTTTCATTTTGATAAACCTAATTTTTCTTATATACGTTTTCTTGCTTATAATACATATTCTACTTATATTACTTTTTATTTGATTCTATGTAGCTAATGATCGCCTAATCTGTATTAAAATATTCACATGACAAATAAAATAAATACAATATTATAGTGTAAATTTTATCTTAAAAATAATTCACAGAATTATTTTATTTTATGTATATTGATAAAATATTAAATATAGCTTACCTAATTTCTTTTTTTTTATTAATATACAAAATAGTTTGACAAACAAAAAATTATTACTAAAAATTCTTTATCATTAATAAAGATTATTTTAAACTAAATCTTAACAAGAAATCTAAACAACCAATGGATGTTCCATTCAAATAATTCCAATAGAAATAAGTCAATGTTTTTTTGTTAACTTCTGGTCGTAATTAACATTTCAAAAAAATAGTAAACTACTATTCAAAAAATTCCTAATTAAAATCATGAATTTTAGTTGATTCAAATAAACTATTTTCATTGTTTCCATAATCATTTTGGAGAATATTCCATAAAATTCATATATAGAACTTATTAATTTCCGAATTAAATGCAGAAATATTATTTCCATAATTTAGCAACACTAGGTTCAAATATTTGTTAGCATGAAATGTTTTTTTTTTTGAATTTATCACTTTAAAATATCTTTGTACTAAGATTTGGTAAACTATAATATTTTTTTCAAGATTTCATATTTATTATTTCACTAATATTTATTTATTATCAACAAAGCTTCTTTAAGAAACTAGATTAAATCTAAGTAAATATAAGAAGTGTATATTCTATTGTTTCTCTAATTTTCATTGAGCTTTAGTAGTGGTTTTTAAAAAAATAATGTTTATTTCTCTTGACGATTTAGATATGATATTACAAATAAAAAAAATTGAAAAGATTAAAATAAAGAGACAGATGGCAATAGTTGAGTTGAGATTTTAAGTGATTCTAATGTATGATAACAATATGAATAGAAGATTTGTTGATATGCCATTCCCATAATTATTCTCACCTGTAAGTTTCTCGATCTGATAGAGAGAAGTGATTGTTAGAGATTTTAGCTTTAGGTTATTTATGTACTTCGAAAAGATATTGTGGACAATTTTCCTTTAAAATAATGGAGACTGATTTTTAAAAAAATATTAAATTTTTATTTTGTTAACTTTCAAAAAATAACCCATAGTAGGAACCAAAACACTAAGTAAATAAAGTTAGTGGAATTTTAATTTAATTTAACAGGTTTTAAAAGTGTTAAAAAAATTGAAAAATTTAGAACTTGAAAGATTTTAAAATAAATAACAATTATGAAGTCTCATATGGAACAATAAAGATAGCAAGAAAAGAGTCATAATATTTCAAACATATATACATTTAATTGTTATAAAAGTACATTTTTGTTAACGTACTTCAAAAAAAATTGCAGAGAATATGACTTTAAGATAATGGATATCAAATAAAAAAGTAAGGTTTTATTTTGTTGGTGTTAAAAATAAATTATTGTAAGAACAAAAAAGCTAAGTTAGAATTTGTGAATTTTCATAGAAATTTCATGGATTTTTAAAGCAAAATTATGATTATTATTGAAACTTCGAATTCTCCTGTGTGTTAAACCTTCATTAGTAGAACTTTAAAAAATTTAAAATACAGATAAAATATTATAAAATTACATAGTTAAAATAAAATAAAAGTAAAGATGGCGAGAAATAAACAATTTACTTATAAGATCATAAACTTACATATGAGAAAAAACATGTCTAATTATATATTTCATCTAAAATACATAAACGCTAATATTATAAGTTAATTAACTTTAAAATATTTAAAATACAGATAAAATATTATAAAATTACATAGTTAAAATAAAATAAAAGTAAAGATGGCGAGAAATAAACAATTTACTTATAAGATCATAAACTTACATATGAGAAAAACATGTCTAATTATATATTTCATCTAAAATACATAAACGTTAATATTATAAGTTAATTTTCATTGAGCCTAAGTAGTGGTTTTTAAAAAATTAATGTTTATTTCTCTTGACCATTTATCTTTATGATTTTGTACATTAATTACTATCTTATATTCTTTTGAAACATAACTAATAATCGGAATTTTTTAAGCCACATTTATAATGAAACACAGGAAATGTAGACGCAAGAAGTATAAGGTTTTGATTTTTTTATTTTTTTTTTCTTTTTATTTTAATATATTCATTTTTTTTCAAAATGTCAGAGTTTTGATTTTTTTATCTTTCTCTCTATTTATTTTATGGTGGAATATGTGAAGCTTTGTGTTGGATTTAGAGATGAAAGAGCTGGTGGTGATGAAGAAAATCGCAAATGCCTGTAACCATCACATGGATGCCAAATGTTAAACTATGACGTTGGTATCTTCATTTCATTTGTCCCACAATTATAATCAACAGGTAGTTCTTTTATTTGATAGAAAGAAGTGATTGTTAGAGATTTTAACTTTAGGTTATTATTGTTATTGAAGAAAATATTGAAGCACCACAATTGAGAAAATATTGTAGAGAATTTGACTTTCAAATAATTGATAGCAATTTGTTGATATGTGAATATCGACAAGGGGTAAAACAGTACTTTAGATCGGTAAACTCGGTTTTATTAGATCAAATCGAGAGAATACAACTGAGCTCGGTTATCAAGTAAATAATAACGAACTAAGACTTAATGAAACTAAGAATCTAGCGTAACGAGTTCTCACTCTCTAAGTCTTCTCT